TTTCTTGTAATATTTGTAAGATTATTTACTTATAAGTAGGACTATCTATCTATCTATCTATCTATCTATCTATCTATCTATCTATCTATCTATCTGGTCTCACTATGTAGCTCCGGCTGTTTTGGAACTCACTATGTATACCAGGCTGGTCTCGAACTTTCAGCGATCCGTCGGCCCTTGCCTCTGAGTGCTGGGATAAAGGTGTGAGTCACTATGCCAGGCCTAAGATTTATTTATTTAGTTAGTTTTTTTTTCAAGGCAGGGTTTCTCTGTGTAGCCTTGGCTGTCCTGGAACTAGCTCTGTAGACCAGGCTGGCCTTGAACTCAGAGATCCACCTGCCTCTGTGTCCCAAGTGCTGGGATTAAAGTCATGAACTACCACCACCAAACTCTAAGAATTATTTTTAATCTTTAATTATATCTATATGTGGGGGATTAATGCATGTGAGTGTAGGTGCCCATGGAGGCCAGAAGAGGGTGTTGGATCTCTTGAAACTAAAGTTATAGGTCATTGTGAGTCATGCAACATGGGTACTGGGAAGTGAACACCTGTCCTTTGTAAGAGCAGTATGCATTCTGACCACTGGCCATCCCACAAGCCCCCCCCCCTGAGGAAACAGTTTTTTTTTTACATAAGTCAAATGGCCAACCCATAAAATTATGCTTAATCCATAACAGAAATGGGAGGACTTCCAAAACTCACATATTAAGCATTAAATCATGACTTTTATTCCTGCGGAGACGCTAGCACTGTCACTTCTTTAATATTCTCCATCCAGTCTACTTACTTTTAACACTTACATAATTTTCTTTTCAAATAAAATTTCATGTCAGTGCTGAAAAAGTGAAACAAGTGTTATTTACCCTAAGTTTCTGATAGCCGTGCAAGCGAATTAGGATAAAATGAAAACAGGGAAACGTCAGATGCTGGGGAGGATGCTGAGAAACATGCTCGCTTACGCATGGCTAATGCGAATGTAATGTGTGTCCATTCTTGTTCATTGCCAAAGCTAAAAACAGGTTCAACACAGAAAGCCTCAGTTGCTTGCCTGGGCATTTATTACAAGAAAAGAGGCTACTTTTTTATACATGAATATTCATATCAGTATTATGCATAATACTCAGCAAACTGGAAGCTTGCCAAATGTTGCCAAAGACATGAATGGTTACACTGGTTTGTTACATCCTCACCATGCACTAGCACTAGCACTCAGCGATAGGATGCAATGAATGACAGGTAACACACACCAGCTTGGGTGAACCAAATGAAATGGGACCATGGGGAAGAAAGAGTACTGAAGGTAGTACATTGCAGAGAGGAGGCGAGCAGGCCAGCTCCCACATGGCTAGCTTTACACCCGAAATAACAACACAAAATTGTATTCTTTTAAACACTGCCTGGCCCGTTAGTTCTAGCCTCTTATCAGCTAATTCTCATATCTTGGTTAACCCATTTCTCTTAATGTGTGTAGCACCACGAGGTGGTGGCTTATCGGGAAGATTCTAACCTATGTCCATCTTGGGCCGGAGCTTCATGGCGTCTGCCTGAGGCATCTGCCTCATTGCCTTCCTCCCAGAATTCTGTTCTGTTTACTCCACCTACCTAATTTTCTGTCCTATCAAAGGGCCAAGGCAGTATTTTTATTAACCAATGAAAGTAGCACATAGACAGATGACCTTCCTCCATCAGCACATGATCTGAACACTTAGAAAAGCCATAGTTCTAATAGCAGAAAGAATTCGGGGACGAGGGAGAGAGGAGGAGCGCAACAGAATTTGAGCGACTGCAGAGTCGTGAGGTGACGGTGCAGCAGAGAACCTTGGTGGCAGTGACAGCTTGGCATGGCTCCCATATTGGTAGCCTGGACACACACACACACACAACCACAACCACACAAATATGTGAGTGCATGTAGAACTCACGTGAGAGATGGCTCAGTAAGAAAAAGTGCTTACCACTGAGCCTGAATACCTGAGTTGGATCCGCATGGTGGAAGGAAAGAAACGACTCCCCACAAGCTGTCCTTTGGCCTCCACGTGTGAGATACCACACATGCACACACATACACGCACTAATAAGACAGAGAAACCTGTGGAACATCACCAGGCAGTCTCTTGGTTATGATTCAGTGCCGCCGTGAGGTAGGATCCTGAGGAGCCTGGGCAGCTGGCGCGCGAGAACTTCCTGCAACTTCCTGTGATTCGAGAACTATTTCAAAACAAGATGTTTAATAAAAAATAGAACAACTGGGCTCTCGGTAAATGGCTCAGTGGGTACAGTGTTCGCTGTACAGATGTGAAGAACTGAGTTTGGAGCCCAGTACCCAGATCAAAGCTAGAAGCCAGGTGTGGCAGCTCATTGCTACGTGTCTCAGTTCATGTTTCTATTGCTGCGATAAAACACAAAGCAATTCGTGGGAGGGGTTATTTCAGCGTCTAGTTCCACAGCACAGTCAGAGGAAGTCAGGACAGGGACCCAAGGCAGGAATCGAAGCAGAAGCCAAGGAGGGATACTGCTGACTCGTTTGCTTCGCATGGCATCCTCAGCCTGCTTCTTACAGAACCCAGGACCACCTTCCCATGATGACACCACCCACAGTGGGCTGGGCCTTCCACATCAATCATTAATCAAGAAAATTCTCTGCAGATTTGCCTATTGCCTAATCGTATGGAGCCATTTTCTCATTTAAGAGTCCTTCTTCCCTTGAAGAAGACACCAGAAAGTGGAAAGATCTCCCATGCTCTTGGGTAGGTAGAATTAACATACTAAAAATGGCAGTCTTACCAGAAGCAATCTACAGAGTCAATGCAATGCCCATCAAAATCCCCTTCACAGACCCCAAAAGAATGGTACTCAACTTCATATGGAAAAGCAAAAAACCCAGGATAGCCAAAACAATCCTGTACAATAAAAGAACTTCTGGAGGCATCACAATCCCTGACTTCAAACTCTACTACAGAGTTACAGTACTGAAAAGAGCCTGGTATTGGCATAGGAACAGGAGGACCAATGGAACTGAATAGAAGACCTGGATACCAATCCACACACCTTCGAATATCTGATTTTTGACAAAGAAGAAAAAATATCAAATGGAAAAAAGAAAGCATATTTAACAAGTGGTGCTGGCATAACTGCATATCAACATGTAAAAGAAGACCCATATCTATCACCATGTACAAAACTCAAGTCCAAATGGATCAAAGACCTCAACATAAAGCCAGCCACACTGAACCTTAGAGAAGAGAAAGTGGGAAGTACACTTGAATGTGTTGGCACAGGAGACCACTTCCTAAATATAACCCCAGCAGCACAGACACTGAGAGAAACAATTAATAAATGGGACCTCCTGAAACTGAAAAGCTTCTGTAAAGCAAAGGACATGGTCAACAAGACAAAACGACAGCCTACAGAATGGGAAAATATCTTCACTAACCTCACATTGGACAGAGGTCTGATCTCCAAAATATATAAAGAACTCAAGAAATTGGACACCAAAAGATCACATAATCCAATAAAAAAATGGAGTACAGACCTAAACAGAGAACTCTCAACAGAGGAATCTAAAATGGCTGAAAGACACTCAACATCCTTAGTCATCAGAGAAATACAAATCAAAACAACTCTGAGATTCTGTCTTACACCTGTAAGAATGGCCAAGATCAAAAACACTGATGACAACTTATGCTGGAGAGGTTGTGGGGAAAAGAGAACACTTCTGCACTGCTGGTGGGAATGCAAGCTGGTACAACCCCTTTGGATGTCAGTGTGGTGATTTCAAAGAAAATTAGGAAACAACCTTCCTCAAGACCCAGTAATACCACTTTTGGGAATATATCCAAGGGATGTTCAATCTTGCCACAAGGAGATGTGCTCAACTATGTTCATAGCAGCTTTGTTTGTCATAGCCAGAACCTGCAAACAACCTAAATGCTTAGGTTTAATATAAACCTAATCTTGACTGAAGAATGGATAAGGAAAATGTGGCACATTTACACAATGGAGTACTATACAGCAGAAAAAATAACGACAGCTTGAATTTCACAGGAAAATGGATGGAGCTAGAAAACATTATTTTGAGTGAGGTAACCCAAACACAGAAAGACAATTATCACATGTACTCACTCATAGGTGGTTTTTCAACATAATACAAAGAAAACCAGTCTACAAACCACAATCCCAGAGAACTTAGACAACAATGAGGACACTAAGAGAGACTTACACAGATCTAATCTACATGGAAAGTGGAAAAAGACAAGCTCTCCTGAGTAAATTGGGAGCAGATTTGAGCAACAACTGAGCCTTTCCCAGCCTTTCATTAATATGTATATACGTTTATATATATGTTATATATACATATATGTATATACGTTTATATATGATATATATGTATATACGTTTATATATATGTTATGCTTATATGCATGTGCATGCCTGGTGCCCATGGAGGAGGGGTTCAGATTACCTGGAACTGAAGGTTGTGAATGGTTGTGAACCACATGTGGGTGCTGGGAACTGAACCTGGATTTCCTGGAAGAGCGACACATGCTTTTAAACCTTGAGCCATCTCTCCAGCTCCTTCATTCAATAGTTATACCAGTTTTATGTTGAAGTGTTAGGTTCTGCAAGAACAGATACCAAGGCAGAGATTTAATGCAGGAACTGCTAATAAAAACGTTTTTTAAACAGGAAAAAAAAACTGTGAAGTTCTGATAAAGATATGAATAATTTACATTGATAAAAATTTTGCTTGGTTGATATAAATTTAAGGTCAATTTTGTTATATGTATATATATATATATTTCTGATATTGATTAAGGTATTGTAATTGTGTAGTTCATGTAAAAATGTAATGTATATAGGTTGTTAATGGATAATCATTAATCAAGCTTGTAGTCATGTTAGTTAGATTTTCTAGATGTGCATAGATATATTTTAGATAGATATCCTTCATATCTTTCAAAGACTAAAGAATATGACATTTAATGTTTTAATAACTTAGGACTTTTCATGACAATGAGACACTCTGCTCCTGGCAGCACCAATCTACTTCAAGAGGAAGATGGGCATCGAAGAGGATGTCTGAGCTGTGGGACCATATGGTGGAAGAAGAAAACCAGCTCATGCAAGTTGTCCTCTGACCTCCATACGAGTGTTACAGGGGTGCACAGGAGTGAACTCACAAGGACACACACACAATCAATCAGTCAATAACTGCAATAACAATTCAAAGGGAAAGATAACTCAGGGCTGTGAAGATGGCTCAGTTGGTAAAGTGATATCTGTGCAACTGTGAGGACTGAGTCTGATCCCCGGCACCCTTGCCTGTAACGCCAGTGCTGAAGGGTAGAGATAGAGATAGGTAGCTCCTGTAAAAGACAGAGCCTTGTTGGAGGAAGTGTGCCATTGGCAGCAGGCTTTGAGCTTTTGTAGCCTTGCCCGACTTCTTGTTTGCTCTCTGCTTCCTGTATGTAGATAAAAATGTGATCAGCTATCTTCCTGCTCCAGCAAGCATGTTGTGCGTTTCCCACCGTCATGAACTCTAGCCCTCTGGAATCATAAACCAAAATAAACTCTTTTTTCCTTATGTTGTTTTTGGTCATGGCACTTTTTCACAGTAAAAGAAAAGTAACTAATACACGTGTCGTGGAAGTGCTTAGAAATGGTGTTGGTAGGTGGCAGTGTATAGCCTTGGTATGTCCCTCGCTCATCCCTGCCACCACGGGTACTTTGCTCATGTACCCTTGCTACATCCACTCCCTATGAATTCGACTCCGCTATTGGACATCGGATCCATGTTTGTTCCCTGTAGGTTCCTCCTATTTCATGCAGAGTCCTTTAGGTTCACCTACCTGCCTCATTCCCAGATCACCTTGTCCCATCTCTCTCCTTCTAGGCTTTGGACCACAAGATCAGGTCAAACATTCCTGCCTCAGGTGCTGTGAATGTTCTTCCTCTCGGCCGCTTTTCTTTGCACACAGAGTAGATGGCAAAGTGTGATGGTTAATCTGATGATTGAATCCGGACTCGGCTAAGAGCCAGGCCTTTAGGCAGGTCTATGAGGGTATCTCCAGGAAGAATGAACTGAAGAGGGAGCGATCCTTCCCCCAGGGTGGATGACTCCTTCCAGCAAGGCCCTCATGGAAAGAAGAGCAGAGGGGTCAAAGGGAAAGGTGGTAGTGTCCGCTGCCTCCCCTTCTTGCTAGGAAATGTATCTTTTCTTTGCTGCTGCTGCCGCTGCCACCGCCTTGGCGGGCATCAGAGCTCAGTTTCTTAAGCCTTCCAATATGTACTGAGGACCAGTAGCTCTCCAGGAATCCTGAGACTTCAGCACCAGATGGGTCTTACTTGAGGCCCCCAGGTTCATGGACTGAGCACCTACAGGTTCTTAATCTCCCCAGTGGACAGTTATTGCTGGACTTCCCGATCACAATCATGTAAGCCAGTGGTTCTCAACCTTCCTAATGCTACAACTCCTTAATACAGTTCCCCATGTTGTGGTGAGCCCCAATCATAAGATTATTTTCATTGCTACTTCATAACTGTAATTTTGCTACTGTTAAGAATTGTAATGTAAATATCTGATATGTAGGTTGTTTTAGATAATCCCTGTAAAAGGGTTGTTTAATCCCCCAAAAGATCACAATCCATAGGTTGAGAACCACTAAGGCGATCTAAGAAATCTCTCATTATTTCTCTAAATACTTTCTGCAACTACTTTATCCATTTTATGTGTTTTATATAGATACTCATTTTGTATGCATTACTGTTCTGCCTGCATGTGTGTGTGCACTGTGTGAGTACAGTGTCCATGGAGACCAAAAGAGGCCATTAGATCACTAGGGGCTAGCCTCACAGATGGCTGTGTGCTGCCACGTGCACTTCATCCAGGCACTGGCAAGTGCTGGGAACTGAACCTGGGTCTCCCGCAAGAGCGGCCAGTGCTTTAACCAATGAGCCATCCGTCTCTCCAGCTGTATAAAATCCTCTGCATAATGTATGTTTATCGCATCCGTTCTGTTTGTCCAGAGACCCTGACTAATCTACTCAGTGCATTGTCTAAAGGTCTGCATGTTGAGGGACCCCCGGCCCTTTATAACCAGCCCCATCGCTGTATCTCCCTCACTGAGCAGAGCAGGAACCCCACAGCCGTTTGTTTTCAGTGTTCACAGGCATACTGAGTTGATCCGTCTGCGAACCATGGTCAGCCTTTTACTTCCTTCCTTAGCTGTCTATGAAGACTCCCCATGCAGCCGTCTATGAGCACCAAGGAAGAGGAGCTGGTACAGAAGCGGCTGGTGGCATAGCGCTATGCCCTTGCTGTCTGCGCACAGCTGGGCCTGTTGGCTATTTATTTATTTAGTCAACTTGACAAAAGCTAGAGTCATCTGCAAAAGGGAGCCTCAACTGAGGAAACTCCTCCCTCATCTTGGTGTGGGGCCCTTTTCTCGGTTAAGGATTGATGCAGACAGGCGCAGTTCACTGTGTGCAGTGTCAACCCTGGCCAGGTGGCCCTGCGCAGAATAAGAAAGCAGACTAAGAAAGCCAAGAAAATCAAGCCAGTAAGCAGTGTTCCTCCACAGCCTCCACTTCAGTTTCTGCCTCCAGCGTCCTTCTCTGATTTTGCTCCAAGAGGGCCATAGCATGGAAGTGTAAGCCAAATAAGTTCTTTCCTTCTTCAAGCTGCTTTTGGTCAGGTTCTTATCCCAGCTGTAGACAGCAGACTAAGTATCATCTCCAGCTTAGGGCAGGGTATATCTAAGCCCACACAGCTTTATGGCTTGGCGGGTCTGACAGAGGTTAGGTTGGCATCGGCAGCTCTGGTTATGTAGTCAATCCATGTCCAGAATCAAGAGGCCGCCAGGTTCTGAAGGCTAGGAATTCGCTGTTGTAGATAGCGCACCTCAGGCCCTCCAAGTGCCACAGTGAGATCCTGGGGCTTCCCAGAAACTGCTCTTTCCCAAATGCAAGAAGAGCTCAAAAGCAGCTCCTCTGAGGTCTGCAGCAGCTACAAGAGTGATCTTGGAGGCAGATGTTCTGGTCTTTGCTGAACCTCCAATCAATAGGCAACGTAACTGATATCTTCCCTGTCACCTCCTCAGAGTCTTTCCAGCTAAGTTCCTGATCTTGGCATAGCAAACTCCTGGAGTTGAGAACTCAGTCTTCCCTACAGTCCAGTTCTTCTTATAATTAAGTTCTTGCCCTTAGTTTTCCCTGCCCTTTGGTGCACATGAGACCCCCTTTAGATGCTGCCAAAAATACCCTTAAGCGTTCACACGTGGCCTTATTCTGGCGATAAACCATTCTTGGCCTTTCATTGTCTTTCTTGAATGAATGAGTGTTGCTGCCATCCCCAGCCACTGCCGCCTCACTCTATAATCTTTACAAATACTTGCAACGCAGAAGCGTCGGAGGCTTGACGGACCGCACCCTCCCTGCACGTGCGCTAACTCCCACCTGTGTTATGCACCAGTTTGCCAGTGAGGAACATCTTAGCAACACACGACACGTTCCAGGGTCCCTTTAGTGATGCTTCTCAGTACCTGTCAGCCAGCAAGCGGTACAGCTCCCAAGTGCCATTTTGGAAACCATTTCCTTTAGGTCACCCAACTTAAGCCAGGTTTCCTGGGAAACGAACTCCAAGCAGGGGTTGGTACTCAGACAGTCTAAGGAGCAGTGTTGGGAGTAATACCCATGAGGGGAGGAAAAGAAGCTGGGCTGGGTGACAGTCACCACGAAGCTGAAGTAGGTTTTGTGGGATAGTCAGAAGCTGGGTTGGCCCTGTTCAATCAAAAGAGGGGATGCCAGGATTTTGTACCCTGAAGCCAACTGCCCCCACAGAGAGAACACCATTTTGGGAAATGCAGCTTTTTTTGGTCAAAGAACTTCTTGGCAATTTCTGGAAAGAGCTTCTTGCAGCTGAGAGAATGACAAGGGGGCACCTGACCACACCCACTCCAGGGGTGATGTCATCCTTCTCTGAGCACACCCACTCCAGGGGGTGATGTCATCCTTCTCTGACCACACCCACTCCAGGGGTGATGTCATCCTTCTCTGAGCACACCCACTCCAGTGGGTGATGTCATCCTCTTTCACTGAGGGTAAAACTGAGGCCCAGAGAATATGAGGAACTTTCCCATCGAGGAAGTAACAGAATCAGAGCCATTTGTGCTCTGGTGCCTCTCAAGGGAGGAGGAAGAGAATCCTTCCCCATGCCTGGGACCGCTGCCAAGACAAAGAACAATTTAAAAACACCCGGTCTATTTTTGCTATTTCCCAGTCTCCATTTTGGTGTCCCTTTCTCACTCTTGAGAGTCCCTTTGCCAGACCTTGGAGAACAGGACGTGTATTCCAGGCCCGGGTGTGGAGGAGACAAAGCTCCCTGGATGGGCGTAGGCAGGATCAGGGTGGAGGTGATGGGCCCCGTGGTTGGGGGAAGGAGTCCGCAAAGACAAGTAGAGAGAGATAAGTGGAGAGCAAGGCTGAGGTCAGTCTGCAGGTCTTGAGCAGTCAGAGTTGGAACAGCTCTCTGTATGCAGTAATGAGGGGCAGGGAGTAGGGATGATGTCCAAAGGGTTGTTTGAGGAAGATTTACTGTGTTCTCCAAGGGCCACGGATGAACCGGCAGAAACAGATGAAGCAGGAAAATCTGGTAGAATGCTATTGCAAGGAATCAGGAATGTAAGTAAGCACAGACGGTGAGAAGGGAAAAAGGGAATGCTGGGATTGTCTATTATGGTTTGGATGTAAAACGTTCACCACAGGCTCATGTGCCTGAACACTTGGCCTCCAGCTGGTGGTCTATTTTGGGAGGTCATAGAACCTTTGAGACTGAGGCCTACCTAGCAGAAATGGGTACCTAAAAGTAAGCTTTAAAAATTATATCCCTTCGAGTTCGGGTTTGTCTGCTTCCTCATTCGCCATGGTGCTAACAGTGAGTATTTACATCATCGTTCCTGCCATCACGGATCAGACTGCCACCACCTTCCTCTTCATAACTAACTATTTTCCCTGGACTTTGAGCCAAAAGAAACCACTCCTC